TTTTTTTAAGAAAAAATCAAAAAATATATTTTTTTGCATTTTTATCTTCCATTTTAAATCCACCAGTCTTATAACATATTTAGTATGGAATGAAATCATTTATTCTTAAGGACATTTTATATAACTTTTTTGGGACTCATACAAAAAATGTTCTTTTTTTTTTGTTTTGCAATATTCTATTCGCATTTTGATGTAGATACATTGTCTTTGAAGTACCTTTTTTTTAGATACTTTATAACTTTTCAAACATTATTTGTTTTTTTTTTTTGTAAGACTTTAACTATTAAGACAAAGACTTAAAACTCATTACCTGTTTCTTGATTTACACTGAAGTAGCTTTTAATTAATTTTAAACCGTTTTAGAATTATAATTTGTTAGTCTATCAATTATTGACACGTCTTAGTTAAATACTAAAATCCTTTTAAAAACTTTGTAAGTTTGTAAGCTAGTGACTGAGTAGTTTAAGGTTGTTAAAAACTTTCATCCAATGAATTATAGAACAGAACAGAAACCCATTTCGAGCAGCAGAGTGTTGTCCCCATTTGGCCGGGGTGACAAACTCCAGCCGCATTCCGCATAAGCCCATGTACGAGTATATGCAGATTTGCAGCCAGATGGAAAAGGATAAAGACCTGGTTGAACGGGGAGTGTGGAGAGGAGTGTGGGAGGTGCAACAAGTCGCTGTCGCTGATGTTGCCGTTGGCCAACAGGACAGAGTCGACATGGCGACATGGCGACGACCCTGAATTGCCATTTCGACTGCAGAGCCGGACAATTCGAGGCCATCAAAGCCAAAAATACCGACTCAACTCGGCGCGGCTCCATTTCAACCCAGTGCGACCCAATCCGCGACCCGGCTGTATTGAACAATGGCTAACTGGCTGTGGCTGACTGCTTGGCCAAAAATGTTGGTAACTGCAGGCAAACATGAACATGAAGGCCAAAAGGTGCACTGGAAATTATCGACAAATTGCTCACATATATATATGCTTTGTATTTTATGTTTAGAAATTTTCTAAGCTGATAAAAAATCATTATATTTTAATCCTTATACAAATATGGAGATCCTACACCTTTAATCTAAATTCTATAAAAATAAAACTGCTAAATTTATTAAGCTAACCGTTTTTACAGAATTTTTAGAGCCATACTATATAATTTTTTATTGCCAATAAATTGAAAAAGAAATCTTTCAATTTCTAGTAAAATTAAAAATCTTAAATATAAAATAAGTGAAACAAAATCCTTCAACTTTTACAGAAAAATGTATAATTTTATAAATATTCATTTAAATGAAATGTTTTTGAATTTAGGTTCAACAACAGAATTCAGAATTTTTTCCAGCGTAGGATGCTATGCCCAGGTTCGCGTTGCAGGCGTCAAAGCGTGCCGCCAAGGGAATTTTGTGGAGTGGGTTTTTGGCCAGGAGTGCAGTGCCCCTGACCATGGAAATGTGTTGCAGCTTTCCGGGTTCGTCCTTGGCCCGATCCCAATGCCCCGTGTGCTGCCAATGGATTTGCCTTTGCCGGCTTCTCTATCACTTTTTTTTTTTTCGTTTTGTTGTCCCATCGTGTGGAAAAGCGGCAGGAGAATTTCCCGGGCAAATGCAACGCGACCTGAATTCGGTGGCAGCAAAAAAAAAACGAAGTAGTAGCCTTGTGTTCCTGATTCTGTGTCCGTGTCACTGGGCCAACGAAAACTTCACTTCACTTTCCCCCCGTTTGGAAAATTGGACAGAGGAAAACTTTGCAAGTGTTGCACTCAGCACGGGGAAAATCAAGAGCAAAACTTGTGGAAACATCTAGTGGTTTTCCCACCAAGTTTGCAACCCGCAACCCCCACGACTTTTCCAAGAAAATCGCAGCCAAGGAGCAGGAACAACCTGTTGCCGCATACTAGCTGATTTTATGGCCAGCGGAGCCACACACGTGATTCAGACTCAGATTCAGATTCAGCTGGATGAGGAAGTCTGGTTGCCTTTTTATGGGTGTTATAGCTTTTCCAAGTGTTTGTGTGTGTGCGTGTGTGTGTGTGTGTGTGGTGGCACCACAGGGAGTCTCTGTGACGACATAATCAACGCTCCATTGGAGGCGAGCTGCCGCCAGACGCAGATGTTGCCACAAGCCACTTGCCAAGCAAATCGCTGGCTTAGACACACCACTCCACGCCGCATAAAACGACTTGAGTGATGAGCTGGATAGACGAGATGCTACAGAGGCAACTCGACGAGTGGAAAGGGAATTCATCATGAATTCATTTCCTGACGGAAACACGAGCCTAACATGTCTAATAAAATATTAAGCACTTCTGGAAATAAGTCTTAGGTTTAAGGACATGTTTTCAAAACATTTTTACCACTGCAAAAATAATTGACAGCTTTTTATTAAGTATCGAGACATTTTTTAAATTTGTATTAAAAAATATGAATATTAATTATTGTTATATAAATAAAGTAATAAGCAAAATAAATAGTCAAATTAATAATAATTATAAAAAATTGTAATAATTGAACTAAAACCCGCAATGAATAAAAATCAAAGCGTATTTATTTTAGTTAAGAACTAAATATTGGAATTTAATAGGTTATTACACCCGTGTATGTAATATCACTTAATTTGGTTTTCATAGTTACCTTTTATAAATATTTATAAAAATGTAATGTTTATTTTCTTAACTCCTTAAAAACCTAAATGGGTTGCTTGTGTTTTAAAATGTATACCCAACTTGGTAGTCTTTATTTTATAAATTATATTTATATGTATAGAGGGATTGTTATAACCTCTCGAAGCAAAAATATAATAATATAATTATAATTATAAAATATAAAGCGTCCCACCCATTCTTTAAGAATTTAATGAACTATATTTGTAACGTCATTTCTTATGCCTTATTCTTGGAAACAATATGCAATGCAATGTTATTTGTGCCTTTCCATCCCCTAGTTCACATTTTTGTGGGAGTGCCAACGAAGGTATCCGTATCCCACATTTAAATTCCGCTGTCGCCAAGCCTAAAGACCCTTGTGACTGGCATTCACTGTATCAAGTAACATTCATTCACTGTATTAGCTTGTGTCATGTTTTTACGACGTTCCCGACCTTGAGAAATCGCAACGGCATGGAGGACTGTTGCGTGTGCTGCTGAAAGGGAAATCCCCCGGCCGATCCGTCCCGGCAAAGGTCAAAGTCACTGGCAGCCAGTGGAGTTTTCCGGGTTTCCATGGGTTTTCCCGGGTCTCCTTTGGGTTTCCCCAAGACAGGGACTCAAAAGGCAAAGTCAGACAGTTCCCAGTGGATGAGGAGGCGGGAAAAAGGGACCGAGATGCCCTCACCGTGGCAACAATAAGTAGCTGGTAACACTGGTAAAAAAAAGGTAGTAAGTGCAAAGGCTTGGATGCTCAACTTAATTAATTTGTCACTTGATATATGGAAATTTAAAAATTGTTTTCTAGTACTTTTGACAAATTTTTGATAAAGATTTTAATATGTTAAAATTCAATTTAAATTAAGACAATGTCACTTTATTATATTTCAAATAAGATTTTTAATAAGGAAAATTTAATGTAAATTTTATTTAATTTTTGGAGCTATTTCATTATTTTATAAATGGAGTAATTTAATTTGATTTATAATATTTCATTTGATTTATTTTCGATTAAGATTTTAATCTCTGAACATGTAATTTTAATTTACATTTATTTTGGTTCTTCCATGTTTTTTTTATCAGTGTGGCCATTCCTCTGGGCTGCGGGCTTTGGGTTCTTGGCATCTCGGCTCCTGGGTCTTTTGCCTTTGGTCTCTGCCTTTTGGTATCTGGCTGCTACGTGCGGCTTGTGGCTGCCACATCCACCATCTAAAGTACATATCCAGGCAGCAGCAGAACCAGCACAAGTGCCCTCTGAGCATCTGAGCATCTGAGCAAGTCAACACGGCGGCACAACTTTGTCTGCCCCCGTTCGGCTGTTGATTTTTTTCGTTCCACTGCCACTGTGGCTGGTTTTTATGGTGGTGACCCCCAGCTACGTGCGGTCGGTTGCCTGCGGCGGAGATTATGTCTGGGATGTCGACTTTTACTGGGTCTGTGACTGCGTCTGGGTCTGGGTCTGGGTCTGCAACAGGGACAGACTTTCGGGGAAGCCGTCCAGGTCTGGCTCTGGTTGCTAGGACGGCACTACACAGCGAATAATTTTGTAATTCTTTGATATTTACATTTAAACACAAGCCCTCACATAAAAACCCAGCTCTGTTAAAATATACATATATATTTATTTGTAAAGATTTTTTTTAAGGTTTTCGAAAAGGCTAAAAACGTTTTTTTTTTATAAATGAATCGTTGTGCATTTTTGTAGTGGCAAAAAAAAAACTTTTTAGTTTTCCACAACATCATTAGAAATAAATAAATTTCTATCTATTTTTTTTGATTTATTTCAAGCGTCAAAAAAAAAATAGTTTTAATATTTATTTTAAGTTTATTTGTTAAGCAATTAATTAAAACAGTTTTTTATGCCTTATAAAAACAAAGATGATATAGATTTCTTTTCATAATATAATAAGTTTATAATCGATCACTAAATGAAAAAACCAACACTTTTATATTTTTTAGAAAATAATGGATGTTTTATATTTTTAAATGAAGATTAATTTTTGCCACTGCATTGGCCTGAACAAACAAAGCGCGTGGCGACGGGCGTGATGACGTGGAAAACGTGGCAGCGGCATGCCGCGAAAAAAGACTGGTGGTCCGTGAAGGGGTCTGGGTATCTGGAATCTGAGGCTTGGGGCTTGGGGTTTCGCGGGTCTGGAAGCATGGATGTGGATGTGGGTCTGGTTTTTTGGAGCATGAGGCCTGGGCCTGGGCAATCCCAAGCCCAAGCCAATGCCTCGACCGCAGACAGTCTGTCTGCCAGTGTCGTCGCGTGACTTAATTAGTTCCCATGAATAAAATGCGGAGAGGTGGGTCTTTTGGCTGGGCGATAAAGACCAGTGTTGACGTCACTTACCCCAGTTGTTGGTGTTCCATTGCCGGCGGCGATACCTGTGGCGTTAACCGATCCATTTCCGGAGTTGGCGGACTTTCCTTTGCCCCGGCCGCGTTTCGAATCGGGTCGAACGGGCTGACCATCGGCTCCGAAGACCATCTGCAAATATCAGAGAGATGGGATTAATATTTAATATTTTTTTTTGATATTTAAGTGACATTATTGTAAGTTGTACTAAAGTAAAAGATATTTAAAGAAAATTCTACATTTATCAAAGTGCTTATACATTTTATATAATCCCTAGATATACAGTTGTAAATATATTTTTTAAAGATTGTTTGTTTGATTTAACAAATTTTTATTAAACTAATCCCTTCTCTTTTATTTTGAATTTTCATCATACGATTTCCTGGAAAGTTTGGCGGAGAGGCATTCGCACATTGAAAGTTAAATAATAATCAATTTGGTAAAGCAGTTTGGCCAAGCTTGGTGTTGCCAGATTGTCGTACTTTTTCCAGAATTTTATATGATGGCAAAGTGCCTGAAATCCCCGGAAAATGAAAAGGAAGTTCTACTGCTTACATTGTATTTACTTAGGATTTTTACATTTTACATGTCAAGACTTATTTAGACACCAACCTAAATATTAGGCGCCATCTGGTGGTCAGAAAAGACACTCAACATGATGTAAAAACTTGTGTATAAGTATAATGAATATTATAAGTCAAATGTATGATACAAGTAAAATTATACGAGGTTTTTTTAAATTTGAAAAATGAAAAAATAATATTATTAAAAGTAGACCTAACGTTTTTGCTTTTTCGACGACTTTCCGAAAAAAGTCCTTGTTTATTTTGACTTATTAATTAAGTGAAATTTTATATATAAACATTAGGGACAACCTTTAAGGACTATTAGTTCTATAGTGCAAACAATTTTTTTTTTCATGCCTGGAAAGAGTAAAGATATTGTAAATATTTATGAGACATTAAAAGAAAAAGAATATATGTACTTAAATGAAATACTTTTCAAAAGATCAAAATAATATATAAACTCCTATAAATCTTGGCAAACAAGACAGGAACTACCCATCCTGATCCCCATTATTCTTCCCCAAAATCATTTATTCGGCTCCCACACTCCCAAAAACCGTGCAGTTGAATAATGACATTTAACCTCTAAAGGAACTGGCTGCCATATTAAATTACTTTCAATATAAAAAGAACATATGGATATTAGAATTGAAACCATAGATAATTCCAATAAGCATGAAGAGGAGGGCTCTAAATGCAAACCGCCTGTTGGAACAAATTCCAAGTCTATTTCCGGCGCAGGCTCATAAATATCAGAGCCGTGGATGCAAAGAGCCTGAGATGCAATCGAGTCTCAGAAGAACCATTAAGCAAAGTGCTGGGAAAGCGGAGGAACCGAACGGTAAAGTTGGAAAACTAAAATTGAAAATGGAACTGATGGGTGTGTATTCGAGAGTGAGTGTGTGTGCGCAGGCGTGCCCAGCTCCACAGTGCTACCAAAAATAGATTGAAATGAAGGAGGCTACACACATGGATCCAGATCGGATCCAGACAGCTTCGCAGGAGTGCCTCTGGAATGCCCTTGTCTGAGTCTTTTCGGCGGCTGATTGACAGCCGCTGCAACTTAACGGTAAATAAGCAACGCCATCATAGACACTGCAAAAGAATGCAGGAGAAATATGCACATTTGGCTCAATATTTCAATAACAAGTCTTGATTTTTAAAAGTATTTTTTTAAATGAATAATAGGATAGGATAGAATGATGATTATAAAAAATTCAGAAGCTGACCAATTTTAGCCTAGCAAATGTGTAAACAAAAAATGTGTTGAACTTTACAAGATTGTATCTTTTAAACTCCTCATTAAATAAACATTAAAAATGTAATAGAGAAAACATGATTATTTTGAAGCTTAAATATTTTAAACGAAACTATAATAATTAAAACTTTATCAAAAAATATTATGTTTTGTAAGTTTTGTAAAATTTTAAAAACTGAAAAGTCCATTTACTTAATATTGCTAGAAATTTTTGTTGTAAGCTTTTTTTTATTAAGTAAATGGTGGTTAATAAAACTTTAATGGTTTTATCATGCCTAGCTATAGTTTTACATTATTTTTTTAACAATATGTGACCTTGAATTTTTCCCAGTGCCTGTGGTTCTCCCCAATTCAACCCCAAAGCATGTGTATGCACCATCCCATTGCCATCTCCATCGCCAGGCTGCATTTACATTGTTGGCACGCGCAGGCGCGCACACATGTTGCCAGAACGTCAACCTTTTGGGGGCGATCTCAGATCAGGGGAAACTGGGAACTTGGAACTGGGAACAAAATGCGTCTGCGTACAGGGCACTTTTCAATTTTAGCAGCAGTTGTCATTTCGGAAGCAATTATTTTAATGCAGAGCCGAAGTAGAAGTCACACAGTTGCATTTACATTTGCAGTCGCAGTTGAGAGCGTGCCATCGTGGCAGCCCCCAATGATGAAAAAAGACTGCCATGGGATGGCAATTGGAATTGGATGGGAAGATGGAGACGACGGAGACGATGTCACTGGGACTGAGGACTGGAGTCTGGGATCTGAGATCTGGTATCTGGGATTACAGCGAGTTGGGGTTGCTCTGCATGGCGTCTAAATTTAGTCGCAGCCTTCGGTTTTCGAGTTCTTGAGGTGTTTTCGGCTGAAACCGATACGACAATGTTACGCAGTGGTACAGTTGTGCACGGTTTGAAAAAGTATTTTGACTCTCAAATAGGAGAAAATACTTTATGAGTGACTGTGAAAGAGGTTTTTTAAATTGGAAATCGAGACTTCTTACGTTTTGAGGGTACTTGAATTGTTTACATAATAAGTTGATTGTTAAGGGGATTATTTCAAGTAAATACTGAACAGTACTGAAGTATCTTAGCTATCATCACTTTTAAAAATGTATTATACGGGTATGAGTAATGCATCTTATGCTGGTAGCTTAAATTGAGCAATATATCATTTGGTGTTTTGTTTTGATTTCGAAAAAATAAAATGAAATCAATTATTAATTTGTAAAAAGCTTAAAAGGAATTATTCCAAATGTGGCTCTTAAGGATCTGCTCTACAAAATAGTATCAGAACTAGTCCTCAACATAATATATAGAAACCAAGATATTACTTATAATAGTATAAGCATAGTTGTTAGTATATTTTTTATTTATTTATTTAGCTAAGCTCAGCAAGTAAAAAAAAACTTAAAATTGTAGCTCAAGTCATAAAATATTAATCCTCCTAATTAGTTTGTCATTTCATTACAAAATCATAATTTTTCTACACAAAACCATTACTAATAAAATAAACATTCAAATGCGCACCAAAAACACACTCATCAAGTTAATAAAATCGTCCTAATTCAAGCTACAAAAACTGCTCAGCGATTCCATAGAAATACATTGCCTAATCAACTTTAAGAAGCCCCCAAAAAGTCGTAAAAACAAGGCCAATGACCTATAAAAATAGGGCCAAAAGTAGGCAACCCAGAAGGCACTCAAAAGGACGAAAAAAGTGAAAAAACACCACCAGACATGCATTCAATCCTGTGTTGAAAGCTTCGCCAAAAAAAAATCGATGACAGTTTATGAGCCTCGGAACGAGAGCTTCTTTAAATCAATTTTTTCGTAGCTTCCTGTTAAAAGGTTCCTGCGTGTCTTTTTTTTTAATTTTCCATTAACTGCAGCGTGTTTTTTTCGATTTGACTTTATTAGCGCCAACAATGCAAGAGCACAAAACGCATGTTGACTTAATTGGGGCTATTAGTTTTTATTAAAAAAAAAAAGAAGGCAGGTGGCAGCTGCTGCGATGCCATAATGAGCAGCTCAAAAAGCCCGCCGGTGGTTCTGGGCCATGGCAATGGGAAGTTGAGGCTTAGGCGGTCGTGGTGTTTTTCGTAACAACGGGAGCCGAGCAACAGGTAGCCCCCATTCCGAATTTGAGTTAACCGCAGAAAAGGCCACACGCACACACAAATGGGCCAAAAACCGAGCACTGACCTAGGCCAATTGGCTTTGCGGTAGGATCCCCACAACGTAGAGCAAAACCAGAGGGGTTCCTTTTTTATGACACAATTTTCGGGAGGCAGCCAAGGCGCCCGGAGAATAACCACAACCAAAACAACAACAACCCCTCGACATTTCCTACCCCTCCTAATGAGCCATAAAAAGTTTGCTTTATGTGTGCGCCAGAGTTTTTGGCAACCCTTCGTTGAAGTTGATGTATTATAAAGCTCCTACATCGAACCCTTCAGCGGCTCCACTTTTGGCAGACACTGATGGAAAATCAGGGATATAAAATGACATATTATATATGAACTTAGGAAAATTTAATTTAAATCTGTTAGCAAAATTAGCGGAAATATACATAGTCGCAGCTTTAAAAAGTCTGAACAAGTAAATTAATATATATTAATATATTGAAAAAAAATGGTTACCACTTCATATTATTTTTCATTTAAATAAATTTGGTTAGTTATTAAAAAAAGGGGGTATAACACAAATCGGCTTTAAAAAAAATTGAGTTCTTTAGGTATAAATTGGTACTTTTCAAAGTAATTATCAAAAATAAAAACAAATATTTAAGCTATAATATTTGTAATAAATATAACACAAAAATCCAAGATTTAATTAAGTTCCATTTTTCTTCAATAAATTATTGATTTTTTTGTTGTATTTAGAAATTTTACTTTTTGTAGAAAATATAAACATAAATTTTAAATTAAAGGTTTAGGACTCAATTCCTGATTTTCAGTGCCCAATGTTCATTCAACCTGAGCGGTACTCGAATATTTAGAGCACCCCAAAAAGGTGAGAATGGAATACCTAATTCCCCGTCCTTGACCTGTGCCAAAATAAGTCCTTAATTACTTCCACGCCAAGGACAACCCTTTTTGTCGAGCACAGCCAGCCTCCAGGAAGTAAAATCGATTTTCGTAGGCAAAACATTTCAAGGTTGTCGCACCCGAAACCAAAACCAAAACCAAAAGCAAAACCCCCTAACATTTGCCACCTTGAGTCCTGTTTATTTTGATTATCACTTTCGCGGGGGGAGGAGCGAGGTGTCGGGGGGTTGGGAAAGCTTCCTGATTAGCTTCCTTCGTCCTT